AATTATTATTTACAAATACAGCAATATTGGCGGGACTAACAATTAATTACACCGTAGTTATTTTTATTCCACTTTAATCATATTAGTTATGTTGTTTACATTTTAGCTTGTAAGTTCCCTTAGCTGTAGTTGTAGCTTTGGTTTTGCACTTTTCGATTCTGTATCAGTGGTATCAAAGTATCGATTCTCTGACCTCTATTGCAATGGAGATGGATAGATTTCTCCCACCATACAACTATTATAATGACCCACGAGCTAGGCATCTATGGAATACTGTATTGAATATTCCAAGTAGTTCCAACTACTACACCAGCTCCTAGACCTGAAGTTAGTTCTGTCATAAAATTTCAGTTATGCACAAGGTGCAGATTCTTATGGTCATTGTAATACAGGATATGGGGCTCAAAACATGTGGTATCAACATCATTTCAATCAAACACCTCCTCTATACTCTTCTAATTTCAGTCCACAACATCCTTGGCAAGTCTCAAGTTCCCAACATGTCCCTTATACCTACCAACCGTCTGGGTTTTCCACTGTCGTTCCTAAATTTTGGACTGCAGTCGTGGTTCCGGAAGGAGTTGGTTCCGTCACAGACACAAAAATGATTGGAGCCAACTGTATTAACACCAGTTTCAACGAATAAAGACTAAGCAAAACTTGTGTAGCTGAAAGTTGTAATGATGCAATTTCAGAAGTCTCGCTGGAAGCAATGATATTATCCTCCTCTATTGTTAATGTTCATCATCCCCACCTCCCCAACAGTTCTCCTATTTTCGAATTTGGAGCTGATACTATCTCTTCTCTGGAGGTTTGTGTCCCTAGAACTTCTATCTTAGATGTCGCAATTGCAAACATCAAGGATACTAGCAGTATGAATTTGGATTTGGAGGTTGACTTAGAAGAACATGGAGCTGATAAGGAAGAGAACACGCTGTTTATGTGCCCCTCACTCCTTGATGTGAATACGCACAAGATGTTTGATGAAATGTCAGTTAATGAAATAGGGGAGCCTTTTGATGAATCGGTTTCTCCTGAAATGAACGAGATTAAAGAAATGGTGCAGAAGCTTGCCTTTCAAGTGACTAGTCTAAGCTCGAGGCAAGATAGACAAGTGCAACAATTTTCTTCTCAACTGAGGGAAATTAAAGATTCATGGGAAAATAAGAGGAATTTGGATGACAACACCTATTTTGTTGTGGAGGAGGTCAAGAAGAGGGATATTAAACAAAGAAATTATCCCTTGGCCGGTGAGAAGCTTGAGGCACTAGTTGCTATGGTGAACAACATCGATATCAGTCACATAATTCATGCTCCTACAGCTGCAGAGCCTGCTACAGATGGAGTATTTGATGTTGAATTTGGTGAAGCTACAGAGGATCATGAACTTGTTGTGGCACGTCGAGTTTCAATGGTAGAGGAAGATCTTTCAACTATTGGAACTGGGGCTGAGGGGTATTTTTGTCCAAATATTTTAGCTTAGTATAAATAGATTTTTTTGTCAATTTTAGGTTATGTTATGTTTTTGCTGAGTAGGTGAGACGGCTAGGTTTTCCCTTTTGGCCAATTTTGTATAAGATTTACCTTATAACATTAGATTTTCATGTTTTAATTTAGTATTATGGATTATATCTTCTCTTTATCTTTGATTTCTGCTATTATTATGAGTAGCTAGACTCATAGCTAACGTTGTGACCCAACCCTAGTATGGGTATTTAATGGGTAGTGAATTCTAGGGCTTGAATGCTTATGGGTTAGTGATATTTAGCCTAGTTCTTGCTAGAATTATAGAATTAGTGGTTGCAAACACTGATTTATGCCTTTATGACTTGGTCTCTTCTAGAGAAAGAAGGATTAAGTATGGGAAAACTAGGCTAACAAGGAATTGGGGTGAACTTAATAAATTGATAGCCCCAATTAAAGGGTTAAACCTAGAGATAGTAATACCCGAATTGAGCTAATATCACATGACCTGCATGATACCCAGTTAGACTTAAGAAAGTCAAACTGGGCAAAATCCCTCAAACTATCGAGAGATATAGAGTGAGTACTTGGGTGTGATAGCTATATTACGATCCCAAATTAATCAAGCTTGCCCTTGATTCTTACCACATGTTAGATGTCCACCTAGGCGTAAGTCACTACCCTAGTCATTTTAAACACTTGAAAACCAACATAAATAATATTAAACACTTGAAAACCAACATAGAATAGATCTAGAATTAGAATCAACACCATCATGTTTGGAAGTGCAATTAGGACCAAAACACGCATCTAGACTTAGATATAAACCTAATTCCAAATCAATTAACTCCCTGTGGAAATCGATCCCGACCTTGTTGGTAAAACTGCATCGACCATCCTCGCTACTCAATAGTGGTGTAGGTTTAGACTCGATCACCGTGTGAGTCAAAGTGTTTCTATTTATAGACATTGGCCATGTGTGGCATGCGCAATATGTTTTCTGGATGCGTGCAGGTTGGTTTTAGTCTAGTGTATGGAGGAGACTCTGCTAAAAAGTTTCCAAAGTCTCTAAGAGTAAATATTCAAGGATGAATGTTCCCAGGGGGAATGATGTTACACCCTATATTTTCGTAAGTAAAAGTCTGTCATGAGAAAACTAATGTAGGACCAAAAATGAGATCATCTTTGAAAATATATAAAGTAAATTAATAATGTTACCTCGGAGGTTACAAATATTGAAGATTATGAACAACAAGTACAAAGAGGTTTGGAAGGTTCAGAAGCTAAAGGAATTGAAGAAACTAATGTTTCGTCGAAAGTCGACAAGTTGGGAATGTTATAACATGTACTTTTGGGGTGAGACTAGGGTGATTAATATGATAAGGAGGTTATTTTATGAGTTATGTTAGTCGTATGATTATCGTGTGTTATGTTTTGAAGTCAAGCGAGTTGTGGGACAAAAGTCGATGAAAGTCATCACAAGTTACGTTCATAAGTTTTATTAAAACTTTGGGTCAAATGTAACTATGAATTTCTCTCACTATACTTAGCGTTATGGGGTTTTCCACCCATAAAATTGAAGATATATGAGTCTATTTTATAACTCATTAAACTGTTTGTGAATACGATATCAGAGTAGAGATATATGGAAATTTTTGCGAGACTGCGCAGACTGTCACCTACTTCCTTAAATGCGAATCCAAAAATGGGCCAGTTCGGGTCGTGCAAAGAGGACTTTTTAAAGGCCTATCTCCTGAATATATTATACTGATAATAAGGTATAATAACTAGATATAAGCTATGCAAAAATCCTCCCCAAAAAAATGCCCACAAACCCTAATTGATTTTCTCTCCCTTTCAAGTTCTAATTAGAGGTAAAACCTAGAGTTTGAAGAACCAAGATAGGAGCTGAGTTATCCAATAAATAAGATAATTTTACTGCTCTCTTTCATCTATTTTTTTCTGCTTTAAATGCATAGTAAGTTGTTCTATATTTGTAAGAACTCACAGGACGATGATCGGAAGCTGTGAGTTCGAGTTATTCACTTGTAGCAGACTATTTTGTGGACGTTTTTTGGAGGATGAATGGTGTGGAGAAACAACACATAAATGCAGGGTGGTAGGCTGGTCGTTTGCCATAGTATTTTCTGGCTGTTAGACACTAATACGATGGTCGTTTTGTGTATGAAGAGATTGGGGTGTGTTGAACTGTTTTATAGTATTTTGTGGTGTATATAAGGTTGGAAAATAATGTTTACAGGTTTTTATTGTTGTGTTCTTGTGTTGTCGGTGTTATCCTGAATTTGGAGGAAGTAAGGATTATAGGAGAGATGTTGCCCGTTTTAATACAAAATAAGCTTATCGTTCGTTGTGCGATAGTTGTACCTTTCGTAACTTAATGATAGTATTATTATCGTTATTGTAGATTAAGGTGCGAAGAGGCGAGTTCAACTTGGTGATTGGAAAGATTGTGATAATGTTAAGGCTAAACCTTTTCTTCATTTTGGCATGATCCCGTAACTACATATGTTTAACAACGAGACATAAAGAAAAGTTTGTATTCATGAATTTATTCACATTATCCTAGTCTCATAATTTACAGTATTCTCCGTTATTGGGACTTTATATTCAATTGAGTATTGTCTTCTTCCAGTCAAGAGATCAAAGGGTCTATATATATACAGTATTACAGTATTTCCACCACCATCGAGCTATAATCAGTAGGCAGGCCCCTATTGGGAAACCTCTTATCAGATGGTAAGATATATACCGAGCCTACTATGGCCGAGCGCCTATGAGCGAGCCCAGGATGACCGAGATACAGAGCCTAGTATGGACGAGCTCCTATGAGCGAGCCTGCTACAGTCGAGCAGTTACACGTACTGAGCCTTATAGGGTCTGGCATTTATTTTACTTACTATATTGAAGAAGTTGAGTTAGTATCAACAGGTAAGTATATCTCCAGATCATCTTTGACTCCCAGTTACTTTTAGCTATTGTATTATCAGTTCAGTTTCAGCTTAGTTATGTTATTGCCTTACATACTCGGTGCATTATTTTGTACTGACGTCCCTTTTCTGGGGACGCTGCATTTCATGCGTGCAGGTTCAGATAGACAGATGGGTAGACCTCCTCAGTAGGTGTTTCCCGAGTTCAGCCTGATCGGTAAGTTCCACGTCCTTCGGAGTTGCCAGGTCTAGGGATTCGTGTACATCTTCTATATGTATGTATATATATTATGGGTAGGTCGGGGTCCTGTTCCGATCACAATACATCCATTAGTTGAGGCTTGTAGATATATTCTGTCAGTTAGTGCAGTATGTTGGGCTTCTAGGCATGGTATGTATATTTTGTTGGTTTGTCAGCTGCAGTAGTTATGACGGCCTTGTCAGCACAGCTTTATATTGATGTTTAGTCAGCACTAGTTTCCGTTCAATTTTATATTTTGCTTCGCAGATTGTCTTACAATGTGGCCCCATGGACAGATAATGACATTATATGTTCAGAGTCCCTTAGTCGCAAGTCGGTACGCTAGGTTAGGTGAGGCATTGGGTGCCAGTCTTGCCCCCCAGGTTCAGGGCATGACACTTTTGCACATAGCAGATGCTGTCGCTTTCCATAGTCATCCAAAAGTATCCAGCTCTCAAAATCTTCATGGCTAACGTGAACCCGTTCATTTGGGGTCCACACGTTCCTGCATGTATTTCTTCCAACACTCTGGTTGCTTCGATGGTGTCTACACATCTCAGCAAACCTAAGTTTGGGGTCCTCCTGTACAAGACTTCCCCGCTGAGGAAGAAGTGATTTTCCAACCTCCTGAGGGCTCTCTTTTGACCATTAGTAGCATTTTCTGGGTATTTCTGGGTCGCAAGGAACTTCTTGATGTCATGATACCAAGGTTTACCATCTGGTTCTTCATCCATATGGAAGCAATATGCATGTTGATCTCTGACTTCTACCTCGATGAGGTCGATGTAGTTCTTGTGTGGATGCTGAATCATGGATGATAAGGTCGCAAGGGCATCTACGAACTCGTTCTGAATTCTGGGGATGTGTTTGAACTCAATCTTTGTGAACTTTTTGCGCAGCTCCTTCACGCAGCGCAAGTACGACAGTATCTTGACATTCTTAGTTGACCATTCTCCCAGGACTTGGTGCATCAACAAATCAGAATCTCCTATGACCAAAAGTTCCTTGATGTTCATGTCGATTGCCATTCTGATTCCAAGGATGCATGACTCGTATTTAGCCATATTATTAGTACAAGAGAATCTTATCTTTGCCGATGCTGGGTAGTGTTGTCCAAATTCTGAAATCAAGACTGTCCAAAACCCGACTCCTTTGAAATTTGCTGCTCTATCGAAGAACATTCTTCACCCAGGGTATGATTCTCCAATATCTTCCCCGGTAAATAGTACTTCTTCATCTGGGAAATACGTGGTAAGTGGCTCATAATCCCCATCTACTGGATTCTGGGCGAGGTGGTCGGCTAAAGCATGTCCTTTGATAGCCTTCTTAGTTATGTACAGAATGTTAAATTAGCTGAGGAGAATTTGCCATTTAGGTAGCTTTCTAGTAGGCATTGGCTTTTGGAAAATGTTCTTGAGTGGGTCGAGCTGAAATATTAGGTGTGTGGTGTACGCCGACATGTAATGCCTTAGCTTCTGAGCAATCCAAGTCAGAGCACAACAAATGCGTTCTATCAAATTGTACTTGGCCTCGCACGGTGTGAACTGCTTGCTTAAGTAGTAGATGGCCCGTTCCTTTCTCCCAGTTTAGTCGTGTTGCCCCAACACATAGCCGAAGGCATTTTCCAAGACTAACAAATAGAGCAACATTGGTTTCCCTGGTTCGCGGGGAACCAGCACTGGCAATTTGAAAGATACTCTTTAATTCTGTCGAAGGCTTTCTGGCACTCCTCCATCCATTTCGTGGCAACACCCTTCTTTAGCAGCTTGAAAATGGGTTCGTAGATTACCGTGGACTGGGCTATGAAACGACTGATATAATTCAATCTTCCCAAGAACCTCATGGCATCTTTCTTGCTCTTTGGTGGTGGTAATTCCTTGATGACCTTGATTTTTGACAGATCCAATTCTATCCCTTTCCTACTTAAAATAAAACCCAATAGTTTTCCAGCAGGGACTCCGAACGCACACTTTGCTGGGTTCAACTTCAAACTATACCTTCGCAAGTGTTCGAAAAATTTCCTCAAGTTGTCCAAGTGCTCTGAACTCTTTCGAGATTTTATGATGACATCATCCACATATAATTTGATCTCCTTATGAATCATGTCATGGAAAAGGGTCGTCATTGCCCTCATGTAGGTGGCACCGACATTCTTGAGACCGAACGGCATAACCCTATAACAGTATACTCCCCAAGGAGTGGTGAAAGTTGTCTTCTCTGCGTCTTCCTCATACATTAGGATTTTATGGTATCCAGCAAAACATCCACAAACGACTGCAGTTCATGATTCACATAGTTGTCTATGAGGATTTGGATATTCAACAAGGGGAAATCGTCCTTTGGGATAGCTTTGTTGTGATCCCGGTAATCCATACATATTTATATCTTTCAGTCCTTTACGGGCACTAGGATGATGTTGTCCAACCAGCTTGGGTAATTGGTGACCCTCACCACATTTGCCTCTATTTGTTTGGTCACATCTTCTTTTATCCTCAGACTTAAATCTGGTTTGAACTTCCTGGGTTTTTGCTTGACCGGAGATCGGGTAGGGTCGGTAGGTAGTCAATGCGAGACAATGTCAGTGCTTAATCCTGGCATGTCATCATAGGACCATGCGAACACGTCAGCGTACTGTCGGAGGAGCTCAATCATTTTTTCCTTCTGCTCGGTTTCTAGGTGAATGCTGATTCTGGTTTCTTTCACATATTCTTTGCTTCCAAGATTGACTACTTCCGTTTCTTCGAGGTTGGGCTTCCTCTGACTCTCCAGCTGTTCGATCTCTAGTGGGAGATTGTCTGGCATTATTCTCTCATCATATTCCTCGTAATTCGGATCGTTGCGCTCAACGGTTTCGTTACATGTCATAATCGCGGAACGAGGTTTTTATCGGTTTGATTACTGAAAAGATAAGCTAGGTATAAATAAAGCAGTAAAATAAATTGCGATATTTAGTAAAAGACTTTTTATTTCATCAAAAGGGGAACGTCTTAAGCGTTCACAAGAGAAAAATGACAAAAATGTATAGACACGGTACATGCCTCAATTGACCGTGCTCTTTTCAAAAGAAAACTTTTACTGTTCCATACTAACAGACTCCCGGCGAACCAAACATATCATATTCATGAACAACTTCCCTATCCCGTCGATGATATCATCTTCGTGTGTTGAACTCTATCCCGGACTTAAAACATGCTCTGGCACAAAAAACTTTTTTTCCCGGAGCTAACGATGTGAGTTTTCGCTTCTGGAGGCTGATATCCTATGCCAGCCCTTCCTTTTTGCCCATTGTGTTCAATTGGTTCATTGATCGCATCTGACCTGGCTCCCAACCCTTTTTAATAGGAATGTACCGTTCGTGAATAGCGGCATATGCCACAGGTATATGCTGGTTCGTGGTGAAAGTGACTTCGTCGCGAGGAGGGGCTGTTGCATTAGTGTTAATAGGCGGGTTTTGTGATGTCTGAGGATATTGTGGTACGTAGGGAGTGTGAATAGGGGGGTTTGGAGGGTTAGCGGGTGTTACTGGGGATATAACTTGAGTGGTGGAGGTTGAGGTTGGAGTGTTATTGTTTTGGCGTGATGTTGAAGGAAAATGATCTGGGAGTGAATCCGAAGAAGAGAGTCTAGGTGGTTGAGGAAGTGTTGTCACATCTAGGTGCGCCGATTCTCTGATATGTTGGACCTTTCCTCTTAAGAATTCTATTTCTTGGGCCATTTCTCATAATCGCCCCGGGCTATCGGCTATGACCAGAGTATGTTCAGTTGGGTCTTCTACAACTGACATCTTTCCCTTAGACCTTAGATTGTATAGTGGCTCCACCCGTTTTAGTCAACGCAAACCAACTTTCTTTTCTTTTCAGGGGTAATAATAAAGCAAAAGAAAATAATAAGAAAGAAAAGAAAATAGCAAGAGTCAGTTTCTTCATTTATACGAGCAGGAAATCACATAGAGCAGATAATTCATGCATTACCGCTAACGCGTTCCTAAAATTTGCAGGGACCTTTTGTTGCCGGAGGTAGGCCTAATTCGTGGATGTTTGACAAACATTTTGACCTGATACATTTATTTCTAAAGCGATTTGTTTTCATTGATAATTTGGACTAATACAAGCAGGAACAGGGATTACATCACAAAGTTGCATGGGCTTAGACAGTTGCCATTTTGGAAAGTAAAAAAGAGAACTAGGGATAAAGGTACAAAGTAGGGAAATCAACCAATTCTAATAGCTATCCCCTGAGTCGATTCCTGTGCCCTTTTCTTCTTCTGGTTCCTCTTTCGGATCCTCCTCTGGGTCTTTCTCAAACTCTTCTTCATCATCATTGAATTCAGACTCCTCCTCTGGATCTTCCTCTGGTTCTGTTCTTGACTCTATCTGAATACATTCTACCACCCTATCATCCTCTTCAGCCGGTGGCAATATATGGTCAATGGATCCAGGATCACCTGACGATGCATTGATGTGGTCACAAGATAGTGTGGCAGGATCTAATGGTATGTCTGTAAAGCAACCATCGCATCCTCTAACCAAGCTATACCCTCTCTGCTTGGGTGGGCCAGTTCTTCTTCTTCTTCGTTAATCCAGACGTAGTACTCAGGGGTGCACCATGAATTTTGATCCATAGGCATTGTTACCAGGTCATTCCACTCTTCTTTCAGTTTCCTTATCCTAGGAATTAGGATCTGGCCATTGTAGTCATCCTCGTACAGCGATGTCCTTGTCCATAAGGGCACATCTTAGATCATACCAAATTGTCCGAGGACCCGCAGAGGTGAGTACGGTTGAATGCCTTCTAATTCGATCAGCTCGATGAAGTACTTTTAGGGATTCCTCAAGATTGCTCTTCCTCCTAACCAAGAGAGTTTCCAGTTGATCCATTCTCCTATCATATTGGTCAGTGTTTTCCTCCATTCTTCTTGCCCAAGTTGGGATATCTAGTGCCTCATTTTTTCATTATGGTTGCAGATTATATTACTGACGCCTACGAAGTAGTCGATAGTAGCCTTCCGTTAGAAAAAGTGTTCGGTAGCCCAAATTTGTAGCAGCAATTTGCATCCTTTAAAGAAATTGTATCCTCGTGCACAGGCGGATAAAGCTCTCAGCATCTTGGCTAACACCATCGGCTCCAAGGTAGCTTGAAGATTTCCACGGAAGGTCTCCAGGACCACTGGTAACATGTTGATGTTGATACGTCCCCTTTGTTGTAGGAAGACCAATAATCCCAGCAGTGCCATTGCGAAAGTGATAGGCCTGAGGCTCTCCCATGTCGCCTGGTCATATTTGAACTCCCCTGAATACCACTCGTAGCTTTCACGGAGCCCAAACCTGTCGAACATCTTGTCGAGACTCACCCACCCGTCCTCGATACTTCTGAGACTTCTACTATTGGTAAGACCTAGAGCATCTAAGAACCGATACCCGGGCATAGTAACTGGCAACACTAGCTTTCTTCCGTTTAATGGCAGCTCCGTAAAACTTGTGACTTCCTCCAATGTTGGTACCAGCTCACAGTCGGCAAATTTGAATATCACTTTAGCTGGGTCCCAAAATTCTATCAACATGCGAGTGAGCACTCTGTCTACTCTGATGTTCATAAATGCACTTAATGCCCCTAGGTGCGTCCGAACTTCGTCTCCATGTTCCCGACGAATATTCTTCCACCACTATTTCAGCTTACGCGATGCTCCCATTACCATGCTAATTTCAGGGATGTTTTGGTTGATTCCATTTTTTGAGGTAGGTAGGTGAAAAATATTTGGGTAAGTGTTTGTTTTGGATCCATAAGTGTCTTGTCATGTTTGTTTGTCTTTCCACAGAAATTATGTCGCTGGGTGCATGACCCGTTGACATCAAAGTGGCTTTCCTAATTGTGTGTTGGTGTCAGGGACTAACTCACCTAAGGTTTATGCAATATGACCTATTTTACTAGAGTAGAGTGTTTCCTACTTTTGAATTGGACTGAGAACTGCGATAAGTTATGTCAGTTAACCTGACAAAGCCATTCTCTAAAACTAGAGAGTTTTGAAAAGAAGGTTCGGATGGGTGTAAAATACAACCCTCGCGTG